CTGCTCCAGGCCCCTCCTCATCCTCGTAGCCCTCCACTGGACTCTCTCCAGTAGCTCCTCCTCTTTCTTGAACTGGGGAGACCCAAAAGCCGTGCGTTCCGGTGCCTTTTCCCAGTCGCGTGCCCCCGCCGTTGTTGATGTGCCCGTAACGGCAGCGCTGTGCCAGTACAGACAGAGCCGTGGCTCCCTGTGAGAACGGGCAGGCGGTTTCGCTGGGGTTGATGTACCAGGGACGGTCACGAGGCAGTGATTTGTCGAGGTGATAGCGCAACCTCAGGATTCAAGAGAGGGGAGGAACAAAACCGTGCAGAACACTGAACGGAGAATCTTCTGCTGTAGTCAAAAAGCTGCCAGTCAGTAGATGTCACTAAAAATGACTGTATTTAAGGATACTGTTGATAAGAATTATAACAAAGACTTTTTTTTTTTTTTCCCCTTTCCAGTCAAGATACAGATTTACCTGGAGCACCAGAAAACTTGACGTTCAGGGAACGCCAGCGACTGTTTTCACAGGGTCAGGATGTGTCCAATAAAGTAAAAGCTTCTAGGAAATTAATGGAACTGGAAAATGAGTTGAACACAAAATAAGCTTGAAGCACCTTATCAGACGTAACCGAAGATCTCGAAATTGAGGGATTGAGATGGGGGGCACGCTACTAATGAACAGGAAATGAATGTTTTCTGAAAGGAGTGACTTTGATTCCTCTATATCTAAGACTGTTAATTAAGATTTAGAGATGTTGCAATAGCAAGAAAACTGATTACTTTGCCAGGAGCTTGTGGTTTTTACAATGAAAGCACTGTAAAATTTTAAAGATATGAATCACGTGAAGGTAACTTTTTTTTTTTTTCCTTTCTGTTTTGGGGGTTAAGTTCTTGCGCACCAGACCAAGTAGCACTTGTCAAAGATAAGTTCTGTTTCCTGGTGTTTTACAGACACACTTTTGTTTTAGCTGCTGAGCAGAGAGAGTGAGAATAGCTTGAACTGCCTAAACTAAACTGTGCACTAGAAATTAGCATTTTAGGTTGTTTGATAAGAAGCCAGTATCTGGGTCACCTTAAATAAGACTTTATATGCAAGTGTGACATACTGTATGTGTTTATACAACGATCAGCATAGCAGTACAGATCTTACCATTGCTTAGTACTGGAATAACACACATTCTGTAGGTAGAACCTTGGAATAAAAACACTTCTAGTCCTATGTATTTGTTGGGTCTAAAATGGTTGCGTAAGAATTTATCTGTAGTTGCGGAAAAGTCTGTACGTTGGTGCATCCTCACTGTATGTGCTTCAGACTTCCGAAAATGTGAAGATAAAACCTTTGGATAATTGTGTTTTATTTAAAATTACATCAGCAATAGATAGTAGGCTGCACTAGTGGCCCTTCATCAGCTAGGACCAAAATGTTGGTGGTGTGTGAAAGGCAGGGAGCAGCGATTCCGGGTCCAAGGAGAGCGGGCCCGAGAGAGGCAGATCAGAAGTCACGAGGCGGTTCGGCATGGGACAGTATCGAGAAGTCTGCTATTACCAGTTCAGCAATACCTTATTTTCTTTACCTTTTCTGTGGAGAAATGAACTGGCGTGTGAAGAGAGGAGGACTGAAGCGCGGAGCGTCCCCGTGGAGCTGGCTGGGAGCAGCGGCGGCGAGGTCGTTAGCAGAGCGCTGAGCCCGCCGTGCCAGCAGGCTCTGCGTCAGCCCCGCTGCCTCCGCTGACATCCCTGAAGGTTGCGCTGAAAAGCCTTCTGGCAGTTCAAGCTATTTTTTTTCACGCTGTAATAGCCTTATTTAATTTTAAATTGTTAATCTTTTTTCCTCCCACTGTTTCTTCAGCTGTGCGTATGTGGCTGATGATGTTGGGAATAAGGACCTCATCAGAGTTTTTCTCATTGTGCGATGTTAAGACGATATATATTGTGATTCCAAACAAATTTTCTATTTGACAAAGCCCTTTACTGGCTTTAGATGATTTTTTTTTTTTTCCTGTATCATATTGTTCTCTTATAAATACATATTTAGGGAATTGTGCACACTTCCGAATACAAAGGGGTAGACTTTCACTGCCTTAGGAAAGAAATCACTTTTAATAAGAGTTGTATGATAAATAAATGCAAGCTAATGAAAATCGGAGTGTAAATATTTTTTACGTATTTCAGGTTTCTTATTTGAAAGTGTGCTTTTACCGTTTCACCTGTTAAATATGAAGTAGAAGATTAAACTGGTTCAAAGTGTTAATGAAGGATCTGCATGCTTGCTCTGTCTGTTAATCAGGAAAAGCAAGCCTCTCCCAATTTATCTGGAGAACACTAGCAGCCTTACAGTAACAGATTTTTCTTAAGGAAAAAAACCTACGCTGTGGCTGAATTACTGTTGCTGCTAGAATCTGAAAAAGGCTTTGCAAAAAAATACCTATAACCTTCACTCGAGTGGATTTGGCCGCTATTGGGCATTTGGGTCAAGTGTGAATAGGTGTAAAAGTGCTTTTCATATTTGTCTGTGCATTATTATGAAAAACATCAAAACTGCTGTAGTTTCCCATTTCTACTGTATTTCACTTGCAACCTATTTTTAATAAAGTTTGTATTGTATTTAACTTTGCATTAAATGTTTTTTTGTACTGTTTGTTCTTTGATTCTGCATTCATAACAGTGCTACCGTAAACCAAAAGGGCTCTTTTTAGTATGTTTTGCCTTACCTGACCTTTTAAAATATAATTACAAGCAGAGTCGGTGTATCTCATGCGTGGATGAAAGCCTCAGATTGTTGATTTTCCGTGTAAAATCAAAGGGGGCTGATTCTCCTTGGTCAGAGAGAAGTTCTTGGCCTGACTGTTCGGTATCTGTAGCAGTGACTTGAAGGAAGAGGTGATTTTTTACGGCTTGGCCAGCACTAGGAGGAAATACTGGTGGGGTCCGTTACGCAGGCTGAGTTGTGCTGGGTGTGTGCCCTCCTCAAGTTGTATCTCTGAAGAGGAACCTGGAACGCAGCTTCTTCTGGAAAAGCAAATAGTATCACAACCAATTGTAATTAGTAATAAATAGTATGTAGTAAATAGTGTTACAACCATTACAAACGTCCCTGGTGACTGCTGCTGTTAAAAAGTCATTTGATCTCTACTTTGAACACAAAGACAGGAGAACTTTTTGTCAAATCTCTGGAAAAAAAAAGAAAAAAAAAATCGGGTTGGCTGACCTGGAAGTTGGGAGGGGTGGACTGGAATGGATGAAGGAGGGCTGAGTTGAAGGAGGTGCTCCTCTGGTACCATTGGGTTGGTAAGGTGCGATGATAAGGTGCTCCTCTGGTACCGTTGGGTTGGTGAGGTGCAATGTTAAGGTGCTCCTCTGGTACTGCTGGGTTGGTGAGGTGCGATGATAAGGTGCTCCTCTGGTACCACTGGGTTGGTAGGGTGCGATGATAAGGTGCTCCTCTGGTACCACTGGGTTGGTAGGGTGCGATGATAAGGTGCTCCTCTGGTACCGTTGGGTTGGTAAGGTGCGATGACTTGACCCTTGATGGCAGACAACAGTTTAAGCTCTGCTTTAATGTAGTTTAAGGGTGGGGGAGAGCCCCGGGCCATGGTGAAGTGCTGCGGATGCCTTCTGCTGTAGCTGAGCGCCCGCCGCAGCCGGGAGGGAGAGCTGCTGCATCTCTTCCCATGTGAGGACCTTCGGCTCTTGGGTCGTGGGGTCCACGCGCTGGAGTTTTCACCGTCACTGATGAGGACATCTGGGTTTGAGTCCGAGAGGTGCGTGTAAGAGTGGGGAGGGAGCTGAGGGAACCATGGAAAAGTTCTGCGTGGTGTGTGCCAGGGAAATGGCTGCCAGGACCCCAAGGCATGGCTTAGGGGAATGTTTTACCCATGTTTTGAGTCTGTCGCTTTTTGAGAACAAGCTAAAGAACTTTTAATTTTGAACATTAAATGTATAGCCTAGAAGAAGAAGGAAACAATTCATTGTCCTTCTGTGTGGTAGTCTCTCAGTCTAAGCAAGAGCAAAGAAGCAGTACAAGCAAAAAGTGATTTATTTGGTGAGGCTACAGTTGTCACAACTGTGAATTGTGTCATACAAACATTTATTTCCAGACTGTATTAGTCCAGGAGTTGTGGGGGTGGAACTGTCTTGATATGCAACAGCGGGAACGCGTCGTCGGTGGGAAAACCAGCTTTGAGCTGAGCCTGGGTCAGGTTTGCTACGTGCGCACACCAGTGCCCAGTGCTTTGCTTCAGGGACGCGAGTCGTTGTCCTTAGCAGCACGGCTCTTGGTATTTTACTTCATGATGACCCTTATGGTGGTAAATGTGAAATTATATTGGCGTATGGAGCCAGGACTCTTTAACTATTTTAAACCTCTGTCAGATTCTCCCTTCTGCACATATTGGACCTATACACTGCTTTTACGCACTGTTTGTACGGCAGTCTTGCTGGTAATTGAGGAAAAGGCAGGGAAATTCAGAAATGGACAAAGCCCACGGTATCCGTCCGGTTCACTGAAATGACGCGCGATGTACCTGATCCTGCCGATCGCTGTTCGCAGGCCAAGCAGTGAGCACGCAAGCAGCAGAACAGACGAGACGGCTTTTTGCCTCCTGATTCAATTAGATGAGGTAAGAAAAATGAGCTTCACCAAGAAGAGTCTTAAAGCACGCCTAGTAACCCGTCTATGCGGTGATAAAAATGAGAAAGCGTTTGCTCTTCCCGTTTTGTCACGATATTGCTGTCAGCTGGTGGCTGGGGGGCCCAGAAGGCAAAGCCTCAGGTCGCAGATTCGGAGTCGGCGGACTTCTTTCCCAGCCGTAATGGCAGGGGGGGGGCCGCCCCCCCCACGAGCGGAAGCAGGCGAACCCCTTCACCGAAGGAGATCGAAGAGCAGCGCGCCTGCTCGGAGGCTCTCCGTTTATTCTTGGCAGCAGATGGATGGTCAGAACTGACCTACAGTTACCGAAGCAAAACGCCTTGCTAAACACGTGGAATGAAATGCTTACAGCTCCACTGAATAGCGTATCACAGAATGGTCGGGGTTGGAAGGGACCTCTGTGGTCAACCAGTCCAGCC